AAACCTCACCCAAGGGTCAGCAGCCTCACAGATCAAAAGTAGACAAACTAATGAAGATGAGAGAGAATCAGTGAAAAAAAAAAAAAACACTGAAAACACACAAAAAACAGACTGCCTCTCATTCTTCAAATGATTGCAGTGTCACTCCAGCAAGGGCACAGAACTGGATGGAGGATGAGATGGATGAGTTGACAGAAGTAGTCTTCAGAACATGGGTAATAAAAAACTCCACTGAGTAACGGAGCATGTTCTAGTCCAATGCAAAGAAGCTAAGAACCTTGATAAAAGGTTAGGGCAGATGATAACTAGAATAACCAGTTTAGAAAGAAACATAAATGATCTGATGGAGCTGAAAAACATAGTATGAGAACTTTGTGAAGCATACACAGGTATCAACAGCTAAAGAAACCAAGCAGAAGGAACAATATCAGAGTTTGAAGACCACCTTCCTGAAATAAGACATGCAGACAAGATTAGGGAATAAAAGAATAAAAAGGAATGAACAAAGCCTCCAAGAAATATGGGACTTCATAAAAAGACTGAACCTATGATTGAGTGGAGTACCTAAAGGAGACAGGGACAATGCAAACAAGCTGGAAAACACACTTCAGAATATTATCCAGCAGAATTTCCCCAGCCTAGCAAGACAGGCCAACATGCACATTCAGGAAATACAGAGAACGCCACTAAGATAATCCACGAGAAGATAAACCCTAAGACACAAAATCATGAGATTCTCCAAAGGTGAAATAAAGGAAAAAATATTAAGGACAGCCAGAGAGAAAGGCCAGATCATCTACAAAAAGAAGCCCATCAGACTAACAGCTCACCTCTCAGCAGAAACTCTAAAAGACAGAAGAGATTGAGGGCCAATATTAAACATTCTTAAAGAAAATAATTTTGAACCCAGTATTTCATATCCAGCCAAACTAAGCTTCATAAGCAAAGGAGAAACACAACGTTTTATAGACAAGCAAAAGCTGAGGGATTTTGTTACCAACAGACTTGCCTTGAAAGAGCTCCTGAGAAAAGCAATAAATATGAAAGAAAAAAGGCACCAACAACTGAAAAACTACACCAAAAAATAAAGACCAATTACACTATGAAGAAACTGCATCAACTAATGTACAAAATAACCAGATAGCATAATGAAAACAGAATCAAATTCACACATAACAATAATAACCATAAAGGTAAATGTGCTAAATGCCCCATTTAAAAGACAGACTGGAAAACTGGATAAAGAGTCAAGACCCATCAGTGTGCTGTATTCAGGAGACCCATCTCACATGCAAAGACATACATAGGTTGAAAATAAATGGATGGAGGAATATTTACCAAGCATCTGGAAAGCAAAAAGAAGAAAAAGCAAGGGTTGCAATCCTAGTCTCTGACAAAACAGACTTTAACCAACAAAGATAAAAAGATTAAAAAAAGACAAAAAAGGGCATTACATAATGGTAAAGGGAACACAACAAGAAGAGCTAACTATTCTAAATGTATATGCACCCAATACAGGAGCACCCAGATTCATAAAACAAGTTCTTAGAGACCTACAAAGAGATGTAGACTCTGATACAATAATAGAAGGAGACTTTAATACCCCACTGTCAATATTAGACAGATCAATGAGACAGAAGATTAACAAGGATATTGAAAACGTGAACTCAGCTTTGAATCAAGTGGACCTAATAGATATCTACAGAACTTGCCACCCCAAATCAACAGATTATACATTCTTCTCAGTGCCACATGGCACTAATTCTAAAATCAACACATAGTTGGAAGTAAAACACTCCTCAGCAAATGCAAAAAAAAAAAAAAAAAAAAAAAAAAAAACCTGAAATAATAACAAACAGTCTCTCAGATCACAATGCAATCAAATTAGAACTCAGGATTTAAAAACTCATGCAAAACCACACAATTACATGGAAATTGAAAAACCTGCTCCTGAATAACTCCTGGGTAAATAATGAAATTGAGGCAGAAATAAGGAAGTTCTTTGAAACCAATGAGAACTAAGAGACAATGTTAACAGAATCTCTGGGACACAGCTAAAGCAGTGTTAAAAGGGAAATTTATAGCACTAAATACCCATATCAGAAATCTAGAAAGTCTCAAATCAACACCCTAACATCACAATTAAATGAGCTAGAGATGCAAGAGCAAACTAATCCAAAAGCTAGCAGAAGACAAGAAATAACTAAGTTTGAAACAGAGTTAAAGGAGATAGAGACATGAAAAACCTTCCAAAAAAATCAATGAATCCAGGAGCTGTTTTTTGGGAAAAAAAAAAATAACAAAATAGGTAGATTGATAGCTAGACTAATAAAGAAGAAAAAATACAAGAATCAAGTAGACACAATAAAAAATAGTGAAAGGGATATCACCACTGACCCCACAGAAATACAAACTACTATCAGAGAATACTAAAAACAACTCTACACAAATAAACTAGAAAATCTAGAAGAAATGGATAAATTCCTAGACACAGACACCTTCCCAACACTAAACCAGAAAGAAGTCAAATCCCTGAATAGACCAATAACAACTTCTAAAATTGAGGCAGTAATTAATAGCCTACCAACTAAAAAAAGCCCAAGGCAAGACAGATTCACAGCTGAATTTTACCAAAGGTACAAAGAGGAGCTGGTGCCATTCTTTCTGAAACTATTCCAAACAATTGAAAAGGAGGGACTTCTCCTTGACTCAATTTATAAAGCTAGCATTATCCTGATACCAAAAACCATGCAGAGACACAAAAACAACAAAAAACTTCAGGCCAATATTCCTAAAAACCACCGATGTGAAAATCTTCAAAAAAATACTGGCAAACTGAATCCAGCAGCAGATAAAAAAACTTATCCACTATGATCAAGTCAGCTTCATCCCTGGGATGGATGGCTGGTTCAACATATGCAAATCAGTGAACATAAGTCATCACAGGAACAGAACCAAAGACAAAAACCACATGATTATCTCAATAGATGCAGAAAAGGCCTTTGATAAAATCCAACATCCTTCATGTTAAAAACTTAATAAACTAGGTTTTGATGGAACATATCTCAAAATAATAAGAACTGTTTATGACAAACCTACAGCAATATCATATCGAATGGGCAAAAGCTGGAAGCATTTCCTTTCAAATCCAGTAGAGGACAAGGATGCTCTCTCTCACTAATCCTATACAAGATAGTATTGGAAGTTCTGGCCAGGGAGCAGGCAAGAGAAAGAAATAAAGTGTATTTAAATAGGAAGTAAAATTGTCTCTGTTTGCAGACGACATGATTCTATATTTAGAAAACTCCACTGTCTCAGCTCAAAAATTCCTTAAGCTGATAAGGAACTTCCGCAAAGTCTCAGCATACAAAATCAATGTGCAAAAATCACAAGCATTCCTTTACACCAACAATAGACAAGCAAAGAGCCAAATCATAAATAAACACCCAATCACAATCGCTATAAAGAGAATAAAATACCTAGAAATACCACTAACAAGGAATGTGAAGGACCTCTTTAGGGAGAACTACAAACCATTGCTCAAGGAAATAAGGCAGGACATAAACAAATGGAAAAACATCCTATCGTCATGGATAGAAAGAATCAATATCATGAAAATGGCCATACTGCCTAAAGCAATTTATAGATTCAGTGCTATTCCCATCAAACTACCATTGACATACTTCACAGAATTAGAAAAAAACTACTTTAAATTTTATATGAAATCAAAGAAGACCCCACACAGCCAAGACAACACTAAGCAAAACCAACAAAGCTGGAGGCATCATGCTGCCGAACTTCAAACTATACTACAAGGCTATGGTAACAAAAATAGCATGGTACAGGTACCAAGACAGACATATAGACCAATGGAACAGAACAGAGACCACATATGTAACACCATACATCTACAACCATCTAATCTTTGACCAAGATGAAAAAAAACAAGCAATGGGGAAATTATCTCCTATTCAATAAATGGTGCTGGGATAACTGGCTAGACATATGCAGAAAACTGAAACTGAACCCCTTCCTTACACCTTATACAAAAATTAACTGAAGATGGATTAAAGACTTAAATGTAAAACCCAAAACCACAAAAACTCTAGAAAAAACCTAGACAATACCATTCAGGACACAGGCATGGGCAAAGACTTCACGACAAAATTGCCAAAAGCAATTGCAACAAAAGCCAAAATTGACAAATGGGATCTAATTGAACTGCACAGGGCTCTGCACAGGAAAAGCAACTATCATCAGAGTAAACACGCAACCTACAGAATGGGAGAAAATTTTTGCAATCTACCCATCTGACAAACGTCTAATATCCAGAATTTACAAGGAATTTAAACAAATTTACAAGAAAAAAACAAGCAACCCCATCAAAAAGTGGGCAAAGGATATGAACAGACACTTCTCAAAAGAAGACATTTATGCGGCCAAAATGAATATGAACAGACACTTCTCAAAAGAAGACATTTATGTGACCAAAACATATATTAAAAAAAGCTCAACATCACTGATCATTAAAAAAATGCAAGTCAATAAGACAATACCACAAGGAGATACCATATCTCACCACTCAAAATGATGATTATTAAAAACTCAAGAAACAATAGATGCTGGCGAGGCTGTGGAGAAATAGGAACACTTTTACACTGTTGGTGGGAATGTAAATTAGTTCAACCATTATGGAAGACAGTTTGGTGATTTCTTAAGGATCTATAAACAGAAATACCATTTGATCCAGCAATCCCATTACTGGGTATATACCGAAAGGAATATAAATCTTTCCAGTATAAATACACATGCACATGTATGTTTATTGCAGCACTATTTAGAATAACAAAGTCATGGAACCAACCCAAATGCCCATCAATGATAGACTGGATAAAGATAATGTGGTATGTATACACCATAAAATACTACACAGCCATAAAAAGGAACGAGATCATGTCTTTTGCAGGGACATGGATGAAGCTGAAAGCCATCATCTTCAGCAAACTAACACAGGGGCAGAAAACCAAACGCTGCATGATCTCATTCATAAGTGGGAGTTAAACAATGAGAACATGCACATTCATTTGTGAAAACATTGATCTCTTTAGCCTAGTTTGACTAAATTCGTGGCCCTGAGCTACCTACTTCAGTACTGAAGAAAGCATCTGGGATGTAGACAATTTCAGAGGTGAGTAACCCCCACATGTGAAGACAGTGGCCTCTGAAAGAATTCCAGGGCATAAGATTACTGAATGTAATATTCTGTGGAATGTAACAGTATTCATTACCATCAAGAATTTAAGGAAGAATTTCAGTTGTAACTGCAGATGGCAACCCTATATAAATCTTTTATCTTTCCAATGCCCCACTGAAAAATGCAACCATCATAGTCTTCAACTTGGTGACTGAAGTCTAGGATTACAGCTATGTTTTAGCCCAATTATTTTAGTAGAGCTCTCAGAAAATAAAGCAGCTGACTCACCTCTTCCTGGATGAAGTGTTTGGATTATGCCTCCCCAAATACACATGTGTGCTGGCATGCATACATATACATAAACCCTCTGAATAAATAGCTTCTATTCTGATGCGGCCATTCCTGTCCTGTGGGGCCACAACAAACTTTGACATACTAAGTGAAGAATAGAAAATCCAGTCCTTACTGTCTAGCAACCTTCATCCTCATCTCCCACCCATTCTAGTGCACTCTGGCTCTAGTCACCCTGGAGAGTGGCTGTTACACAAACTTGTAACTACACTCCTCTAGGCCTTTCCTGTTGCTGTTACTTCAGGTTAGAATACTACTAAAACCCTTCCCATGTATTCATCACTTAGAGTTCAACTTCTTCTTGAGGCTTTATTGGAAACTGTCCACAATTTAACATACCCCAGACTAAGCTGTAATTCATTACTTACTTCTGCGTTTGTATCACATGTTAATTGACCCTCCACCAGAGCATCTATTTTATGAGTCATGTTTAATAAATAAGGTTAAAGATCAGATGGTGTGAGAGAAAGTAATATGCTTGAGACTGACAGACCTGAGTGGTCTCTTTCTTTTATTGCTGCTTGACTTTGGACAGGTACATTTACCTCCATGAACCAGTTTCCTCATCTGTAAAATAAGGATCATTAAGAGTAGCTACCTAATAGCTAGCATTATATGAATTAGTATGAGGAAAGTGAAAGCACCAGAAACAGTGCCTGCACATAGTCAGTGCTCCATAAGTGCTATCTCTCATTATTATTACCATTGTTTGAACCTACCTCAGAATGTAAGCACCACACAAAAAGGGAAAAATCACTATGTTTGTACTCTGATATACAGCACTGTGCCTGGCATGTGGCATGTGGTCAGTAAATATCTGTTGAGTGAATGGATGCTTTAACGAGTCTGTAAAATAATTCTCATCGTTAGCGTCCTCCTCCTCCTCCTCCCTTCCTCCACCTTCTGCTCCTCCTCTTCCTCTCTGAATCCTCTACCACCTGATAGCATGGTGCTTTATGCCCCACAGAAAAACTTCAAGTGGAGGGAGCATCACTGAACGCTCCTCATCCCTTGACCCTTTTGCTGTATCTGTTACTCCCTTTCTTGAATTCTCTTCTCTAACAAGTTCAAGTTCAGCAGCAACCACTTCAACCAGCCTAGCCTGCCCTTCAGAGGTGAGGGGGAGGGAATGAGAGGCAAGGCAAGGAAGACAGGGAATGGGGCGTGGCCACTACGATGCAAAGCCTGACTGCGCCTGCGTAGGCTGCGGCAAAATAACGTTCTGAGGCTTGCAGTCGTTGCTGGCCAGCGCTTGTGTACAAAGATCGCTCTTCACACCAGATATCACTTTTGATCCTTCCAGCTCCAGGGTCTCGGGCTTCAGCTTTGTGCCGAGGCACCAACACTGCTACGGTCCTCTCTCCGACTGATCGCTGATCTCACCCTTCCCCCTCCTGTCTCCTGGAACCATGTCTCTGGTAAGCCAGAATGCACGCCGCTGTAACGCAGAGATCACTGCAGATTACAGCGACGGCAGAGGTGAAATACAAGCTACTAACGCCTCCGGGCCCCCCACCCCCATGCTAGTCGTTGATGTCCCCCAGTGCCCTCAGGCACCAATCAACCCTCAGTGTGTCAACACTTGCCAGGCCGTTCAGGACACGAATGACCTGGAAGTCCTGATCGACGAGCAGTCCAGACGTTTGGGGGCGCTCAGGGTCCACGACCCTCTAGAAGACAGGTCGATTGCTTTGGTGAATTTCATGAGAATGAAAAGCCAGAAGGAGGGGTCTATCCAGCAGTCCGAGATGCTGGAGTTTCTCAGCGAGTACTCAGATCAGTTCCCTGAGATCCTCAGACGAGCCTCAGCTCACCTGGACCGGGTCTTTGGGTTGAACCTGAGAGTTATTGATCCACAGGCTGACACATACAATTTAGTCAGCAAACGGGGTTCCCAGATCACCGATAGGATAGTGGAGTCCTTGGATATGCCAAAAGCAAGTCTCCTGGCCCTAGTCCTAGGCCACATCCTCTTGAATGGGAACCGAGCAAGAGAGGCATCCATTTGGGACCTGCTGCTAAAAGTTGATATGTGGGATAAGCCTCAGAGGATCAATAACCTCTTTGGGAACACAAGGAACCTCCTCACCACTGACTTTGTGCGCATGCGATTCTTGGAGTACTGGCCGGTGTATGGCACTAATCCCCTTGAATTTGAGTTCTTGTGGGGCTCTAGAGCCCATAGTGAAATCACAAAGATGGAAGCCCTGAAGTTTGTGTCAGATGCCCATGATGAAGAACCCCAGAGCTGGCCAGAAGAATATAACAAGGCCCTGGAAGCTGACAAAACCAAAGAAAGAAGCCTGACTGCTGGCTTAGAGTTCTGGTCGGAGGACACTATGAATGATAAGGCAAATGATTTGGTCCAGTTGGCTATTAGTGTCTCTGAGGAGTTGCTGCCTATACATCAGGATGAGCTATTGGCTCACATTGGCAAAGAATTTGAGGATGTGTTCCCAAATATCCTCAATAGAGCTACTCTAATTCTTGATATGTTCTATGGGTTGTCTCTGATTGAGGTTGATACCAGTGAGCACATCTACCTCCTTGTCCAGCAACCAGAATCAGAGGAAGAGCAAGTGATGCTAGAGAGCCTGGGGAGACCCACTCAAGAATATGTAATGCCAATCCTTGGTTTGATATTCTTGATGGGCAACCGTGTCAAAGAGGCCAATGTCTGGAACTTGCTTCGAAGATTTAGTGTGGATGTAGGGAGAAAGCATGCCATCACCTGTAAGCTTATGAGACAGCGCTATCTGGAATGCAGGCCACTGTCCTACTCTAACCCAGTTGAATATGAGCTTCTATGGGGTCCTCGAGCTCACCATGAAACCACCAAAATGAAAGTCTTGGAGTACATGGCCAGGCTCTACAGAAAGCGACCACAGGACTGGCCAGAACAATATAGGGAGGCTGTGGAAGATGAGGAGGCCAGAGCCAAATCTGAGGCAACTACCATGTTCTTCCTTGGTCCCATGTGAAGTCTAGGGAATATGTATCACTTCAGCTGAGTGGCATCCGTTAAAGATGCCTTGGTAAAATTGGCATTGGGGCTCTAAATTAGAATCCGGGGAGGGATTGGGTGGGAAGTACACATTGTGCTTACTGTCTGTGTTCCCATTCTAGTAGTATTTCCTTCCTTTTAATATACCCTTGAATTAGGTTAATGATCAATATTTATAAATGGAATTTTTCATTTGCCATCCCTGTCTTGTTTCAGTATAAAAGTTCAGATATCTCTGTAAAATGTATTGATAATATTTACATCTTTGAAATAATCAGTAAAATGGTCTGGTACAGGAGTTAAATAACAATAACACACACACACACACAAACACAAAACCACTGATCTGTGATTGCTTTCCCTTTGTGTCTACTGTCGTATACATATATACAACTATATAGATAACTATATATAACTATATATAATATATATAACTATATATAGTTATATACATATATACAACTCTCTCCATATATATATACATATAACTGTCATTTACCTGTATTTGCAATAAAAGCATAATGAATTAGACACCATGCTTATGCATTCATTTATTCTATAAGCATTTATTAAGCACCTGCCATGCTCTGAGAACAGTGCTGTGTGCTGGGAATATAAGAGTGAAGAAGACCCAGCTGGGCTCTAGGGCTTAAGGGGGAGGGCTCATGGAAGTAAACCAGCAATTATATTATGCTATGGAAAGTTGCATAATAGGCATAAGCTCAGAGTTCTATGAGAGTCCACAGGAATAACTCCTGATTTTAAGTGCTGGGAAGGATAGTGGGAAGGTGATGGCATCTAAGAAAGTCTGGGGAAGGTGCAGAGGTGTCAAGCCTGGATGAGTGGGAAATTAGTCAGGAATAGTGGTGGGGAGGATGAAGTGGTATGGAGGGCTGGGGACAAGTGACATCTATTGTAAGATCTGAGGTTGGGGAGAGGAAGTGAAGGACTGCTAGTGAAGACAGAGGCAGTGTGTAAAGCACCTATGAAGAATTTGAAATAGCTCAGAAAGACAATGACTTTAAGGGAGGAGTAGGAGAAATAAGTCTGTGGCAGAGGTAACAAGGGCCCATATCCTCAGAGTGACTCTTGAGAGCCAACAATGGCCTTGCACCTTCAGTCAGACTGAACAATATACCTGGAGGAACTCTGCAGGGGATCCTCTGCCAATGCAGTTTATTTCAGCACCCAAGCTGTTGAGTGTTCGCATTTAGGCTCTCTTCATTCTGATCCCCCTTACCGCTTCTAACCTGGCTCATAGCTCCCCATAAGCGTTCCCTAGAGAGTCAGCAGGTAACAATTTCTGAGAGGGAGCCCTGGTATAAGGATGAGTGTCATATGGAAAATCACTTATTAAAGAGTGGGGGCTGCTGCCTACCGGTAGCGTAGGATCTACGTCTTCATTTCCTTGCACACGCCAGCTTTCTGCCTTTTTCATCCGTCTGATCACCGGTGGCTACTCCCATCTGCTACCTCCTATCAGATGGGAGGGAGTTGGAAGACATTCCTCACATTTTCATCAGCCTCAGGAAGAGAACGACACAATCGTCTCGCTGGAGGAGTGGCAGGGAGAAGGAAGATATGTCCTTTTGTATCCAAAGTCTGGCCGGCTGAGATGCAGAAGCCTAATTAGAGCTGTCGGCTTGGGGATGCCACTGCGCAGGCGCACTCCGCGGTTGCTAGGGCAATACAGCCCAGTCTCAGTGATCTTCCCATCAGTAGCATTCCAAAGTCTGAATGCTAAGGGCAGGGCTTCTAGCAACGAGAAAATGAGTAATTGGAGAGTCCGATCTGAAAGGGTTCTTGAAAATGGGGTGGGGTGGGGTTGTCAGGCGGGAGAGTATCCAACTCAAAATCTGGGACCTTGGAGCAGAGTCTTGCTTGTGTGCTAAACAGCAATTCTCTCATTCTTAACCTGTACATGCTTATGAGACGGGAGAGGGGATGGAAGCAAGCACGTTAAGTTGCCAAGTTTTTTTACTCTGACTTTTTGGATTGGTGCAATTTCTGGGTTCACAAACATGTCAGCTCTTCTGGGGGGCTCCAGTAAAGAGAGACAGAAATCTGCCACGGGGAACGTGTAGCATCTGGACAACAATGATCAATGTAATGCTGCAAATTGTTTTAATACTAAATATGCGCCAGGCACTGTGCTGGGTTCTTCATGTTCTTAGATCTAATCTTTCCACCATTTCTCTAAGAAGCATTTTAATAGTCCCACTTAGCACTAAGGGAAACTGAGGCTTAAGTAATATGTCCAAGGTCACACAGCCAGTCAATGAGAGCTGGGCTTGGAGTCCAAGGAGCCCCACTCCAGGCCTGCCCAATGTTCCCCCTCAAATTTTCTGACTTTCGGGATATACAAAGAAAGGCTGCATGGTCAGAGTGGAGAGGCAAGATGATAGCACTCAGGAGAATGAAAGTGAAGCTGAAATTTCTCCAGGCTCTTCCTTGTACCACCACTGGGGCTCCATGAGAGCTGTCTTGGTATGGAATATGCATTTCTGTCCAATCTCCTTACTCTGCCCTATGAGTCTTCTCCAGCTGAACCTCTTCAAGCCTCCAGCCTTATCTGCTTATCTCATTCAGAGAGTGTCAAATATCATCTTTTCTGGAGCTCCAGAAGTGTTAAGTAATTTTTTTTGGAATCCTGAACGAACAATGACCTGAAAGAACTTCTGACCTGTCCAGGGTTGCTCAGAGTGCAAGAACAGAAGTGGGAAATAGTCCTGTGTCACAGAGACCACATGCAGTTTCCCAGAAGTGACAAGAGTGAGACTTGCAGGGCACATGCCTATGGTGTATGTAGGAAAAGGTATAGTCTCTCTGTGGCCACAGCCATTCCTTTGAAGACCAAGAGAGATTTGAGTACTCCCATCCTTCAGGCACCAATTTAGAATTAACACCCACTAAGAAATACTTAGGGGTAGAAGTGAGTGTCTGGTAAACAAGACTTACAGAGGATGCTGTACAAATTACTACAATATAAGTCAGTCGCTATTAAGCCTTTAGAACACCAGACAAAATATCTTTCTTATCTTTGTGAACTCATTTGGAAGATAGAAAGGCCTGAGTTCATTTGCAGACTGTGGGCCATCAACATCCAACAAGTATTGCAGTTTTGGCCACATTGGGGCTTGCAGAATAGGTATTGGTTAGATATGGATTCATCATCCTGTATATATTCCATCCAGAGTCCTCTTTAACCTATGATTTGGATCATAGTTTTGATCCTTCTTAGAGAGATAAGACGGAGAATATAATCACTTTCAGTGATTTGGATCCTTCTTAGAGAGATAAGATGGAGAATATAATCACTTTCAGTTCCTGAGTCCCAGGAGTGCCCTCTTTCAGGGATGAGTGGTTAGAAAAGCCTTGCCTGCACTTTCTCTCCATCTGCTTCTGTATACACACACAAGCCATCCAGAAATAAACATACAATCCAAGGAAAACCTGAGCTAGATTTCAAGGAAATTCCCCCTGCTCCAAGGATTGCTGCCCCTAAATCCTCCAATACTGACAATATAGATCAACTCATAAGTGTCTTTCATGTTCAGACAAGACCCCCACAGTCTCCTTCTTTCTTCCTAGAGGGGATCTCCAGACAGTAAGATTTCTCACTGAACAAGGTTTGTTTTCCATCTCAGTGAGTGCTCAACAATATCTTTAGGAATTCTCTGCAGGCAGGATTTGAAGCTAGGTGCCAAAAAAAAAATAGTTGCGAAAAAGTGTACCCTGAAATATTAATACCCTTGCTTTCTAGACACAATAGTAATAAACAAGCACCTGATAAGGATGGGACAATATATTTGGAATGGTTAAGAACTCTAGATCTGGACGGTACTTTTTCTGTCACTTACTAGCTGTGTGAACTTGGTAAAGTTACTCACATCTTTCTAGGCCACTTAATGCTGTTTTCAATAAATTGATAGAAAATCCCAGTCACACATCTACCATTTGATGATGTCGGAACTGTGACCCAAACCAGTTGTACCTTAGTCTAGTGATATTTCCATGCCATACAACTGCTTTTAAAACTACTACTTGTCAACACCTGGGTAGCTGAAGTCAAACAACTCCTGGGTTGTTAGAATCACTAGTCTTTGTTTTCTTTAGAAAATACTTCAGGCAAATGTTAACCCCAGGTGGTTATGAATTAGTGAGGTTTAGGTGCATCAAGAATATATTATTTGTAGACTCCAATACACAAGATATTTTTATGGACGCTTATGGGTGGTCTATTTAAGCAGACCTCAGTGTCCTACAGGAAACCACCTGCTTAGTTGCCACTCAGGGCATCAGTCAGTGAGGATGATTTCCTTTCAAAAGGGGAAGAGTTAGGGAGGGAGTTGGGAGCTGAGGCCTAAGGTCCAAGCAGCCTCTCTCAAACTGCTCTTCTCTTGAGAGCATCTTCTTTGGCATGGGCTAGACAGGATAAAGTTTCTGTCCTCTAAGTGTTCACTTCTTTTGTAGTATCAAAGGAAAGGAGGATAGAGAAAGGGAAGACACAAGAATAGCCACTGTTTCTAAAGTTGACCTCTCTACTGAAGACTTGACCTGCTTAGGCCACAGTTCAGAGAAATTTATTTTCCTGTAGAGTCTGCAGGAAAATGGTGCCCTGGCGAAGGACCAAGCCTGGATTGCCTCCTTCTGCAAGATAAAGAGGGCTGCTGTCCTGGAAGAAGGTATTTATCATTCCAGCTGGTAAAGGAGATCACCCTGAGATCCAGCTGTGGGGGCCAGGTGTGGAGAGCTGGTTGCACACAAGATTGCTCCCCTTTCTCTGGAATGTTGGGGGGTGGGGGTTGCAAAAGGCCTAGGAGGGAGGGACTAAGAAAAATAATCTTTGGCAGGTTGTTAACATCAACCATTTATATAATGTTTCCTCACATAAATAGAGCCATGGACATCCTTATAGTTTCTAACAGGGGAGAACTGCAGAACTCCTAGAACTAACACTTTTGTCCAAACCCCTGCAGTAGTAAGAGATCTAACTAAACTCTTGCATGTTTCTCACAGCCTAAGGCTGGGTTCCTATAATTGACCGCAAACCCCACTAAAATGACTGCCTGAGAAAGTTCAATGCTGCCAGGAAAATACACTGTTTGTTCTTGCCCAAATCTGATGATAAGACCCTGAACTCCCTTTTTTAGAGCACATAGTAAAAAGGGCTTATTACGGTGAATATGTATCTCTTACAATTCAGAAGTGACTCTCCCAAGGACCTGAGAGCCATTCCTTTGAAATATAATCAAGAAAGATAGGAACTCTGTCTTCCAGTCTCTGTGGAGGGACAAATCCTAACTTTGATAACTGCCGACTAACAAACACAGCTGGCCTAAACACAGTGCATTTACACTGACCAATCTTTTGTAATTTTCACTTCTCTGACTCTACTCAGCCCCCAACATCACTCTCCCTTTAAAACGCCCAAACCACCTTTGCAAAAATTGGAATGGAGCTCAGCTTTTTTCAGCATTGTTAGTAGTTACTGAGTAAGATCTGTTTTCACTACTTTAAGTATCTTTGACACAGGGAGGATGAATAGTATCCAGACATGTGCTGAATGAAGAGAATTCACTCTCCAGCTCTGAGAGGGAACAAACTAGCTAGTCCCTGAGGTGAGTGATAAAGCCAATACCTCTTTTCTAGATAGCCTTTGTTGCCTACTCCACCCACAAGGAACCATACCCAGCTCAGCTCAGCCCTCAGGGAGTTCCACTTGAGGCTGTCCTGCTCCCTGGAACCCCTATACACTGGAGAAGCCCAGAGATGTCCGGCCTATCTGAAGACCACTTACCCAGTTCTATTTAATAAGCAATTTTGAAACGCTTGTTATATGCTGGCCTTATTGTATTAGACACTGGGGTACAGGGATGAATTAGATGTGACCCCTGTCTAATCTGTGTTCTAACTCAATACTCAGCCTTGAGTCTGTCAAAATATATGAGCAATCTATTAATGGTTTTATTTCAATGCATACCTGTTTCATTTATAAATTTTCCAGTTGTTTCTTTTTAAAAATATACCTTTTTGTTAAAGAAGATTCCTGTTCCTGTCTTACAAATTACAGTCCCTTTTTCATCTCTTTCAATATTTAAATCAGATTTATCTTAAAGTTATTTTTACATTGATCTACTATTGCGTGTTTCATTAATTGTGAATTCTGCCATTTGTTGAGTCTGATTATTATCTAACACTTCAAACTATAAAACTACTACAAGAAAATATCACAGAAATTCTCCAAGACACTGGACTAGGCAAAGATTTGAGTAGTACCTCACAAGCACAGACAACCAAAGCAAAAATGAGATAATATCTAGTTAAAAGGCTTCCAAAAGTTAGAGGCAAGGTGGCTCACTCAATGCAGCCAAGAGAAATATCTGCCACCAAGAGACTAGGACATTGGTAAGACTGGCACACTCCAAGCAGAACTTTGGAGGGAAGACAATGAGAACTGATGGAGGGAAGATGCAGATGCTGGGCTATAGAGAAAGGAAGCTGGGAACCCTGCAAGGGACTTCCATGCACTGGGAGTTTTTCCTGGCCACCAACCACTCCCAGGGAAAAGGTAAGTTGAGCAGGTGAAGAGCAACCCACCCACGCCATGGATCTCTGGAATTCTGGCAGCAGGAGACCCCATAATCTGCATGGACACTTGTACTGGCAGGCAGAGCTGCTTAGAGAAGTGGTAGAGGCAGAAGACCAGCCAGTGTGGAACCCAAAGGATTTGGTGTGAGTATCTTCAGTGGAGTACAGCCAGGGATGTCTATCCCCCAAGGTTCACCTTTACTCCCCTAGGAGACTTTAGCCTTAGGGAAACTGTTGGATCTGAACAGAGCAAGGTGATCTTGCCTGTGAGTCAGGACTGGTCCAACCTGAGGAAACTCCTGTTTGCTGGGGCCTCAGGCTGACTGCACATGCTTGCAGTGCAGCCTTGGGTGCCCAGCTGGAGTGCCTCCTGGAGACACACATCACAGCTCCTACACTGACAGACCATGCCTGACCTTTGCAGAGCTTCAGCAGAGCAGCTCCTACTGGTACACACAAGTCCACCCACACATTCCCCCCACTATGGCCTCCTCTGTGCCCCTTTGATAGCACAAATTTGCCCACGGCTACCCCTGACATTGCTTTGTCAGTGCATGTGCATGCTGGTTGACCTCAACTCCCTTCCCTGCCAGCATGCATTTATGTGTGCACCCCACTATGCCACTACTCTGGATGTGAGCACACCCTGCCCACTCCTGCTACACTGCCATTGCTTGCATGAATGTGTGCATAGAGACCAGCAGCCCTGGCCTCCACCCTGTGTTGCCACTGCTGCTTGTGTGAATGCGTGCATGGAGGACACTAGCTTCCTATCTGCCAGTGTCATGCTTCCACACCAACACTGCCACCAACATGAATGCATGAATGGACATCAGCAGCCCCATCCCTCCTACATACTGTGCCACCACCACTGCTACTATAAATGTCCACATGGAAGCTGGCAACCCTGTGCCTTCCAGACCCCTTATCCAGCCAATGCTGTGATTCCACCACTGCTGGCATGTGGGAATTAGCATAGATTCCACTGCCACCACCAAATGAAGTGTTTGATTGGCACCACCCATTGGAGTGTTGTAACCAGCAGCCTTGGAATACATCAACCCCTCTAGTACAGCAGGTTCCTAATATCAAGAAGCCAAAGAAAAAAGGTGGGGACCTAATACCAGCCCCCCAGGGTTAGTACATGAGGCCCAGGAGTCCTGAGGTGAGCCTTGGCCTCCTAAAATCTTCCAGAAACAAAGTCTGTTGACTGAATCTACCACAGCCAAACCCCTAAGGACATCAAAGAAGACAAAAAAATCTACCCAATGCTTTCCAAAGAAACAGGAACCTCAATTACTGAAGAAACATCAGCCCACAAAAATGAGAAAAAAAGCAGATCAAGAAGTCTGGCAACTAAGAAAGCCACAGTGTCTTCTTCCCTTCAAAACACTGCACTAGTTCCCCAGGAATGGTTCTTAACCAGGCTGAAATGGCAGAAATGACAGAAATAGAATTCAGAATAGGGATAGGAATGGAGATCCTTGAAATTCAGGATAAAGTCAAAACCCAATCCAAGGCTTCTAAAGAATACAATAAAATGGTAAAAGAGATGAAAGGCAATATGGCCACTTTTAGAAATAATCAAAGTGATATGATAAAACTTAAAAACTAACTTCAAAAATTTCACAATGCAATCACAGTATTAACAGCAGAATTGACCAAGATGAGGAAAGGACCTCAAGGCTCAAAGGCTGGCTCTCTGAAAACAAAATAAAGAAAAAACAATAAAGAAGTATAAACAAGCCTCCATGAAATATGGGATTACCTAAAGACACCAAAACTATGACCTATTGGTATCCCTGAAAGAAAGAAAAAGCTTGCACTTCCCCTTTGCCCATTGGATTCTGCTCAATAATATTCACATTTGGTCAAAATTAGTACAAAGTTCAGCCAGAAGCTTCTTTCACCCTGTGGCCCTTCCTTAATTTCAGTGGCTGTATCCCCAAGGAATCCTGTGAGATAAAGACAAGGATGAATTCCACAAGCTCAAGCTGGAAACCAGGAGTGCCTACAGGGCTCTTTCCACTACTACTTCTACTTTTATATTTTGCTAAGCTTCCTAAATCCGTTTCAGCTCTAGGTAAGGTAAAATCTTTCTCCCAAGATTTATCACTTCTTTGGTTAAGTTAATTTCTAGGTATTTTATTTGTGGCTATTTTAAATAAGATTGCCTTTTCGATTTCTTTTTCAGATTGTTCACTGCTGGCATATAGAAATGCTACTGATTTTTGTATGTTGATTTTGTATCCCGCAATTTTGTTTACTAGTTCTAATAGATTTGGTGGAATCTTTACACTTTTCCAAATATAAGATTATATCAACTGCAAACAAACATACTTTGTCTTCTTCCTTTCCAATATAAATGCCCTTTACTTCTTTTTCTTGCCTGCTCTAGCTAGGACTTCCAGTACCATGTTGAATAACAATGATGAAAGTGAGCATCATTGTCATGTCCTAGATCTTAGAAAAAAATAGCTGGCAGGTTTTCCCTACTCAGTATGATACTAGCTGTGTGTCTGTGACATATGTCTTTTATTGTGTTGAGGTATGTTCTCTCTGTACCCAGTTTTTCAGGTTTTTTTTTTTTTTATCATAAAGGGATGTTCAATTTTATCAAATTTTTTCAGCATCAATTGAAATTTCATTCTGTTGACATGATATATCACAGTGATTGATTTGCATATGGTAAGCCATCCTTATATCCCTTGGATAAATCCAACAGGGTTATGATGAATAATTAATATGTCATCAAATTTGGTTTGCTAGTATGTAATTGAGAATCTTTGTGTCAATGTTCATCAAGAATACTAGCCTGTGGTTTTCTTTTTTTGATGTATCTTTGTCTGGTTTTGGTATCAGGGTAATACTGTCCTTGTACTGTGAATTTGGAAGTATTCATCCCCCTATTTTTCAGAATAGTTTGAATAGGATTGGTATTAGTTCTTCTTTAAATGTCAAATTTCAGCAGCGAAGCTATCAGGTCCGGGACTTTTCTTTGCTGAGAGACACTGATTATGGCTTTGATCTCATTACTTCTTGTTGCTCTGATCATGTTTTGGATTTCTTCTAGGTTCAATCTTGGTAGGTTGTATTATCTAAAAATTTATCCACTTCTAGGTTTTCCAATTTATTGGCATACAGTTGCTCATAGTAGCCTCTAATGATCCTTTGAATTTCTGCAGTATCAGTTGTGATGTCCCCTTTTTCATTTCTCATATTATTCATTTGGGCTTTCTCTCCTTTTTTTAGGGTAAAGGTTTGAGAATTTTTTTATGTTTTCAAAAGACAAACTTTTCATTTTGTTGATCTTTTGTATTATTTTATTTGTTTCCATTTTATTTATTTCTGTTCTGATCTTTATTATTTCCTTTCTTCTACGAATTTTGAATTTGCTCTGCTCTTGCTTTTCTAATTCTTTAAGATGGATCGTTTGGTTGCTTATTTGAAGTTTTTCTAATTTTCTGATGTAGGCACTTATAGCTACAATCTTCCCTCTTAATACTGCATGTGTGGTATCCCATAGGTTTTGTTATGTTGTATTTGCATTATCATTTGTTTCAGTAATTTTTGATTTTCTTTTTAATTTCTTTATTGATCCACTGGTCATTCAGAAACACATTTTTAAAATTTCCATGTATTTGCATAGTTTCCAAATTTCTCTAGTTATTGATTTCTAGTTTTGTTTCATCTCTGAAGTCAGAGATGATACTTGATATAAAATTTAATTTTAATTTTTTAACACTTGTTTTTTAGCCTAACATACGATTTATCCTTGAAAATAATCCATGTGCTGAGGAGAAGAATGTGCATCTGCAGCCATTTGATAAAATGTTCTGTAAACATCTATTTGGTCCATTTGATCTATAGTGCAGATTAAGCCTAATGTTTCCTTGTGGATTTTCTGTCTAGATTATTTGTCCAATGATGAAAGAGGAAGTTAAAGTCTCCTGTTCTTATTATATTGTAGTCAATCTCTGTATTTAGCTCTAATAATGTTTGCTTTATATATCTTGATTCTCCAGTGTTGAGTGCATATATATTTACAATATCCTTTTGCTGGCTCAACCCCTTTAACATTATGTAATGACATTCTTTATCTCTTTTTACAGTTTTTGTCTTGAAATCTATTTTGTGTGATATATGTATAGCTACTCCTGTTCTTTTTTGGTTTCCAATGGTATGGAATATCTTTTTTTCATCCTTTATATTCACTCTATGGGTGTCTTTATAGGTGAAGTTTGTTTCTTGTAGGCAACAGATTCTTAGGTCTCTCTTTTTTTTAATCCATGCACCTACTCTTTGCCTTTTGATTGAAGTGCTCAGTCCATTTACATTGAATGTTATTATTGATAAGTGAGGTCTTACTCCTGTAAATTTGATTTTTTTTTTTCTGGTTGTTTTGTGATCCTCTCTTTTCTTTCTTTCCTTCTTGTCTTCTTTTAGAGGATAATTTTCCCTGGTGGTGTATTTCAATTTTTTGCTTTTGTGTGTGTGTGCATTGCTGTTAGCATGAGGCTTGCAAATACTATCTTATAACTCAGTATTTTAAACTAATTACAACTTAAAACTGAGTGCATAAAGAAACTAACAAGCAAAAAGATAACCAATATCAACTACACTTTTTAATTTCATTCTTGGACTTCTTAAGTTTTTGTTCCTATTTATATCTTATTGAACTGTTTATGTCTTGAAAAGTTGTGGTGATTATTTTTTATTGCTTTAGTTTTAGTCTTTCTACTCAAGATATCAGTAATTTATACACCAATAATAGTGTTATAATATTCTTGCTTTTGTGTTTACTTTCTATTATCAGTGAGTTCTGTACCTTCAGATGATTTGTTCTTGCTCATTAACATCCTTTTGTTTCAGACTGAAAAACTCCTTTTAGCCGTAGAATTGTAGGACAGTTCTGCTGTTGGTGAAATCCTTTAGCTATTTTTTTTTGGTCTGGGAAACTCTTTAAATATTTTTACTAGATATATTATTCAATGATGCATGATTTTTTTTCCTTTAGCACTTGAAATATGTTATGTCATGTCATTCTCTCATGGCCTATAAAATTTCTGCTAAAAAATATGCTGCTTGACATATTGGAGCTCCATTATATGTTATTTGTTTCTTTTCTCTTGTTTCTATTAACATCCTTTGACCTTTGGGAGTTTGAGTATTAATTGCCTTGAGGTAATCTTCTTTGGGTTAAATCTGCTTGTACTTCTATTTAAATATTGATATCTTTCTGTGGTGTGGGGAAGTCTTCTGTTATCATTTTGAATGAACTTTCTATCCCCATCTATTTCTCTACCTCCTGTTTAAGATCAATACCACGGGTTTACCCTTTTAAGGCTATTCTCTAGATCCTGTAGGTGTGCTTCATTCTTTTTTATTCTCTTTTCTTTTGTGCCCTCTGACTGTGTATTTTCAAATAACCTGTCTCCAGGCTCACCATTTCTTTCCTCTGATTGATCAGTTTTGCTGGTAAGAGAGAGTGATGCATTCTTCAGTACTGCAATGGTATTTTTCAGCTCCAGATTTTCTGCTTGATTCTTTTTACTTATTTCAATCTTTTTGTTAAATTTATCTGATAGTATTTTGAATTCTTTCTCTGTGATATCTTGAGTTTTGTTCATTTTCCTCAAAACAATTATTTTTCATTCTCTTTCAAAGAGGTCACATGTCTGTCACTCTCTCTCTAAGATTGCTCCCTAGTGTCTTATTTAGTCTGTTTGGTAAGGCTATGTTTCCAGGATAGTCTTGATGTTTATGTATGTGGATATTCCGTGATGTCTGGACATTGAAGAGTTGACTATTCATTTTAGTCTTTACAGACTGGAATTGTTTGTACCCATTCTTCTTGGAAAGTCTTTCCAGGTATTTGAAAGGACTTGGGTTTTGTAATCTAAGTTTCTGGCCACTGCAGCCGTATCTGCATTAGGAGGTACACCAAGCTCAGTAATGCCATGACTCTTGAAGAGTAGTAGATGTATCGCCTTGGTGGTCTTGGGTACAATCCAAAGGAATTCTCTGTATTACAAGGCAAAGGCTCTTGTTCTCTTTTCTTACTTTCTTCCAAATAAATGGAGTCTCTGTCTTGCAGAGCTGCTTGGAGCTTGGGGAGGAGGGACATTAGAAACCCTGTGGCCACCATCACTTGAACTGTGCTTGCTCAAACCTGAAGCCAGCAAGGTGCTGGTTCTCTCTCAAGGCTCATGGTAACTATGATCTACCTACCACTTATGTCTGCTCAAATCTCTAGAGCTGTATAATCAGCAGGTAGCAAAGCCAGCCAGGCATCTGTCCATCCCTACAAGTTGGCAAGTTCTCATTCTCAGGCAGGTCCAGAATTGTCATCCTGGAGCCAGATCCTGAAATCCCCAATCTTAGGAATTGACCTGGTACCCTGGTTTACTGTGGCTGAGGTGGCACCCAAGCCACAAGAGAAAGCCATTCCTACCCTTCCATCCTCTTTTCACGAGAAGTGGAGTTTCTCTCTCTGGCCATCACCATCCCAGGACCATGGTGAGTACTGCCTGGACTGGAACCCTCCCTTCCAGGAAGTGAGATACTCTCTGTACAAGGGAAGTTTCATAAATGCCTTCCACAAACCAGTGCCTGGTATGTGAAACCCCAATTGCCCTCTTGGTGCTCTACCTCATTGTGTCCAAGCTGGTATCCAAGCTGCAATACAAAGTCCCCTTTACTTTTTTCTCATATTTCCTCAAGCAGAAAGAGTCTTTTCTGCATAGCCACCAGAGCTGGGAATGTGCTGGGTCAAATCTGAAGCTATTACATCTCTGTGTCTAACCCAAGGCCCATGGAAAGTACTGTACTGCCTGGATATTGTTGCTGATTACTCAGGGCCCAGGGGATCTTTACTTGGAAGGTGATTAATCCTGTCTCCACATTGTTTTCTAAGCTACTGCTATCTTCTCATGGAGACATATATTTACATTTTAAAGCTGTTCTATCATTTCTGCTTGTAACAGAAATGATATGTTTTAATGTTTTCATAATTTTGCAGGGTATCACTGTGATAAACATTATGAGAGTAAAAACTTTGTTCTCATAAACGACTATTGCCTTACAATAATTTCCACTAGACAATATCTTCAGGGTCAGAAGATATACAAAGTTTTAAGGTCGTAGCAAATATTTCCTAGGGCAAACCCAGAGTGATGCATATAAATTTGCATTTGAATCAACAGGATTTGAAAAGACCAGTCAGCAAGCCAATAGCCAGTGTAAAGGAAGATGATAATCTTTTATTCTTTTTTTTTTTTTTTTTTTTTTTTTTTTGTATTTTAACTGCTTTGTTGAGATATAATTCACATACTATATTACTGGCCTATTTAAAGTGTATAATTCAATGGTTATCAGTGTACTTACAGACTGGTACAACCATCATCACAATCTTATTTAGAACATTTTAGTCATTACAGAAATAAAACCCATATCCATTAACAGTCACTCCCCATTCACTTCTTTCTTGAGACCTAGGCAACCATAAGTATACTTTCTATATCCATAAATTATTCT